GCTTATTTACGATTGTTTCCCGATTAGAGCAGCGTACTCAAATTCGAGAAATTGGGAAAGACCGTTGGTTCAGAGTAAATTATATGCCTAACCTAGCAAGGGAAGAGGAAGAAGTTAATTTGGATGATGTTCGTGCAGTTTTTGATGGATTTGAGGTTGGTTGTTCGACTTCATTGTATCTTGCTCTGGTGGTGAATTCCATTTAACTGCTAAGATAGCTTTTTGATGACCAAGGAGACGTGATTGCTAAATGATAGAAAAAAAATAGTAGACATGTGGTAGGTACCAAAGCTGTAAACTGCTTCTAATTCAATTCACCATTGGATTTATTCACAACCCAGTGCCCGAACCAAAATCCTAGAAAAGTTCCAGAATACTCCAGCTCATTCTCCCCCCGTGTCCTTTTCAACTATTAGCTTACGGTTGTTGCTTGCCGTCAACATAGCTACAACAAACCACCTAGGCTAATTACAGTGATCATGCACCAGACTAACACAATGAATTAGCAACATGTATCTTCTACAAAGATATAGTTAGCTATGGTCTGGCCTAGTAATAAGCCGATACCGTAATTTCTAAAGCATATTTAGAATTTTTAAGTTAAACTTAGTCTCCAGCTGTTTTGAAACTGGTAGTTAAATGTAAAAAAGACTCTACAGAAGTGCGTTTGTTGCCCAAACTAACAATGTGAAAAACAACTTCAGTGTGTATCTTGGCTCAAGTTACTTTTACTCGTTTTGCATAAATGTGACCTGTCCAGTTGCACTTGTTCACAGGGCAATTATGTAACAGAGAATGTAGAGAGAAAGGATGGGGGCCCTCTGATGATGAATGCCTTTGAGATGATAACCTTATCACAAGGCTTAAATTTATCAGCACTATTTGACAGGCGACAGGTAGGACCTGAATCTATATTATTAGTTAGAGAGATCTCCATATTGTATAATAGAATGTCAGTAGCATCCAGTCTCAAACTACCCATCTTGACAGCCTTATGGTGGTAACTTTTGGTGCCGAGTTCTAGTTTTGTTGCAGGGCATTAGTAGATAGAAATGGAATCCAATATGTTCTTGCATATTGGTGGCTGATCCTTTCACCTGGCAGGATTTTGTTAAGAGGCAAACCCGTTTTGTTTCTCGAGAGGCGCCTGGTGTGATAATTGCTAATATTGAGGCTGTTGCGAACTCAATGGGTCTTAAGGCTCATACGCGCAACTTCAAGGTAACTAATTCCTAGCATATGTACTTATTACTAATATCATGCGTTTGTATCTCTGACGTTCATAAATGGAAGACCTAGCTTGAAATTTCCGTTTATATAATGTTGGGCAGAGGTAGGATCGCTATAGTTTGTTACGTATTGTTTCTTAGTTATGCACTTTATTTGCTCAACAGACAAGGCTCGAGGGATCTTCAATGAAGGCCGGGCAATTTGCTGTTGTGATAGAGGTGACTGATGGTTTATTGCTTATTCTGTTTTTTACATAAGTATCTTTTGAAAAGGGTTTGCTTCAACTAAAGGGTTTCTAGAAAATTGAAATTAACTAACCTACATGCAGATTTACGAGGTGGCACCATCGCTTTTCATGGTAGACGTTAGAAAGGCTGCTGGTGAAACTCTTGAATATCACAAGGTTTACAAAG